GCGTTCCGTTTTGCGCATAGCACGCATCGTTCGCATCGCTAATGCTTAGCGCATTGGCTGCGTTTCGTTTCATTATGCGCATGATACATGCTTTGAAACGGAACGATATTGAACGCATTAGAAGCGGAAAATCAAAATGGATTCCACAATAAATTGCGCTATCAATGTGACAATGTTTTTAATTGATAAAATGAGTGACAGTAATAGTAGTGAATCATCAATGACTCTTCCATTATGACTCTTCCATTATGACTCTTCCTATTTTGACACTTTTTACAATATCGCTATCAATCGCCATATGCAATTACGCAATCGCATGGAACGCATAAGCTGCTGCAACTCAAACTTGAGGTAGCTGAGGCCGCCGGCACACGAGATGGTATTGAGACGGAACGGAACGGAAGCGGAATCAACGAACCAATCACAGCTCTATCTTTTTCCGTCGTTTTGTTCCGTTGTTTCTTATGTCCTTATGTCCCATGAAGCGGAATGTAGACGGAAGCGGAATACTCGATATGATATAAAATAAATATTTGCATGTTATTTGCAATATTTTTTAGGCAAAAAGTGACGCAATATAAATATAATAACATGAAATATAATATACGATAAAATAGTAAAAATAAAATGTATTTTTTTTGACATGTAATTTTAAATATCCATATACAATTATTTTATGATTGGCTGAAACTTGATTTCGCAGCTATTTTTCCGCTCCATGGGACATTAGGGGTTTGCATCGACGGAACACGGAACTCTTTGATAAACGAAGAAAGGAAAAGCTTCCAAAGCTGTGTGTAGCATTGTGTAGTATTGTGAACACAAAATAAAAATTGTTAAAAAAAACATTACATTATGGAAGACATAGTGCAATGCATTTGTCGTGTATGGATTTCGTGCAGAAGAAAACCGTATTCTGCATTTCAAAAGCAGATAATTCGTAAACGAATGCTATTACTTTTATTTTATATTATATTAAAAAATACAAGAAAAACGCACACGGCAATTTGGGTACGTCCTATATTCAAAGAAGAAAGAAGGCTAATGCAAGGAGCAAGTGACAACCTTGTTCGTGAAATGGAGGATACCGATGTTGAAAAATATTTCAACTATTTCCGGATGCCATTCGAGACATTCCAGAAATTGTTAACAATTGTTGAACCATACATCACAAAAAAAACAATAATTCGAACACCGATTTCTGCACGCATCCGTTTACAAGTGACATTGCGATATCTAGCTTCCGGAGACAGTATGATGTCCATATCTTACAGTTTCCGCATAGCTCATAATACTGTTTCAAAAATTGTCGCTGAGACTTGCCTTGTCATTTGGAATTGTCTGAAAAACGAAGTATTTCTTCAACCGAATACAGCTAATTGGGAACATATTGCTGAAGAATTTCAAAGCATTTGCCAATTTAATCACTGTATCGGAGCTCCTGATGGAAAGCACGTTGTTATTCAGGTATGAACGCCTATTGTGTTAAAGCATGTTTTGGAAAGATATTAATTGAATTAGATAATAAGTACTTTTCTATTTTGTAGGCACCACCAAACAGTGGATCCACGTTTTACAATTACAAAGGGCAACACAGCCTTGTTCTTCTTGGCATAAGTGATGCTAATGGTTGCTTCAGTCTCGTCGATATTGGTGGTGAAGGAAGGCAGTGTGACAGTACAATATTTAAAAATAGTGAGTTGGGGAAACGATTCAGCGATGGATCGCTTGAACTGCCTGCACCAAAGTATATCGAAAATACCAATGTGAAATTGCCCTATGTGTTAGTCGCGGATGAAGCATTTGGACTAACGACATATATGATGAGACCGTTTTCTCGAAATGATCTAGATACAAGAAAAAAAGTTTTCAACTATAGATTGAGCCGTGCTAGACGAACGGTAGAATGTGCATTCGGGTTACTCACTGCTAGATGGCGGATATACGGAAAACCCATAATTGCTTCTACGTCGACAGCTCAAAAAATTATACAAGCAACGACAGTGTTACATAATTACATCATGTTAACTGAAAAGGATTTGGATATAAAACAACGGTGTTATTCAAATTTCACAATACAAGACCGTAAAGTGACTTCTCTAGGCTTGAGGGATATACCAATAAGTTCTTCCTCTAACACCGCTGAAGCGAAAAAGATTAGGGAAGACTTTGCTGACTTTTTCTATGGAAGTGGAGCATTGCCATGGCAATGGAACAAAGTATTGAATAATGACTTTTGAATAACGAAAATTGTCCGATATAAGTTTCTTTTTTAATTGCAACGTTTGATTGGAATTGTTCTTTTATCGATAAGATGTAATTTTGTTGATAAGATTTAGAAATTTTATATTTTTTATTTTATTGTTTAATTTTTATGTTTATCATCGTAACGACTTTGATGTTTGTTTTTTTTATGCATTTTAATTTGATGGAATGGTTTTAAAGCTCATGTATGGTCCTCGCAAGTGTCCACGTTACTAACCCATCGACGAAGCCTCGTACGATTACATACGAGTGCGTTACATCCAAAGTGAGAGTTGCCTGTACTTTACCCGACGGAAACTTTGCGTTTCCAATATCAAGGTCGACGAGAACATCGTTATCGTTATATTACATTTCCTATTAAACATTAAAAAAAGCAAAGACGTATTGTGTATCTTGATTAAATACTTTATTATCTTTGGCTTTGTAATATTCACAATAAATATTATTCTTATTATTGTTCGCGTATGCACTTAAAAATATTTACTTTAGTTATCACATTATTTAGCCAAAAATGACAATGCTTATTCTTATTTGTCTAGTACACAATTGCAGAAAAAAAATTTTTTATATAAAATTTTAAATAAAATAAAAAATTTTAAAATAAAATTGTGCTAATATAAATGAACATAAAAAAAATGCACAAATATGGATTAATAAAAAAAATACAATTGTGCAAATATGAATCAATATAAAAATAAAATAAAATTGTACAAATATGAATCAACATTGTCATTTTCATCGAAGTAACCGTGGAGCTAGAAAGCATGCACTCGGCTTGCGTTTCTTTGTACTTCATATCACATATTCATCACTATTCATTGGTAGTTAAACTACGCTCTTGAGCTTCCATTAGCTCACCTAGCCATTTAATCTGTAGCAGAAATCTTTTCCGGAATGACAAACGTCGCAGGCCTTCTCCTAACATTAGCAGCATTCCATCCACTGCATCTGGGGCTTTTGAAGACTCGCGTAAAGCTTCTAGTAGAACTTCCTGCATTGCAGTGTCTTGATGCTCTATACAAACAACAGACAATTAGCATGTGTGGACATATAAATACGAAGCAAAGAGCGTTTATTTTCAAGTAATGCATTACTTTTTTTATTTTTTGTTAACGCAGGACTAGTTTTTGGTGTTACAGCTGTTTCGGAAGTTAACAAAAGAGGAGCCGATAATAGTTCACTAGGTTCCACTATTATTGGTGATGGCCTCTGTAGCAGTGTTAATGCATCTGCATCTGTTGCAACTCCACTTGGATCAGTGTCTTGATACTCTATACAAGAAACAAACAATTAGCATGTATGAACATAAATACGAAGCAAAGAATATGTATTTTCAATTAATGCATTATGTACTTCTTTTTTTTGTTAATGCTGGACTAGCTCTTGTTACTGCTGTTTCAGAAATTAACAGAAGAGGAGCTGATGATGGTCCACTGGGTACTTTTATTGGCGATGGCCCTAGTGGCACTGTTAATGCATCTACATTTGTTGCAGCTCCACTAAAACATCCATCTAAATCTGCATTAGAATTTTGACTGATCTGTAACGGAATCGGGTCCAGTGAGCTTATCGTGCTGCAAAAATTAAAAAATTTAAAAACGAAAAATTTACATTATACATATATTCCATAGTAGACGTAACCTGAAATTATAATCTACAAATAGCTTATCTGTTTTTCAGTTTAATTTTTATTATGAACATTCATTAATAAATAATATACTTACGTTTCTGTAGTGTAAGCTACTTCTAAAAATTGCATTTGTTTAAAAAATCTGAACGAAGTAGATCGCAATTTTGTTGCACTCTCTGCGTCGGATCCACTTGGAATATAAGCTCTTGCTTTCTTTCTCGCTTTTACATAGGAATCACGTAAATCTCTCCAGCGAGTTTTAGCCCATGTAGGAGTCGCTTTACCTACATTGTAAATATAATTCTCATATTATATTTCAAAACATACTTTCCATATTTCTTTATCTTGTTTACGATATAAATATTTAAGATATTACCTCCTCCCATCACATTCGAAATTTCCACCCAAAGAGCCTCGATCTTTAATTTGGTCCTATCCCTTAAAGGTAATTTATAGTTCCAAATTGCGGGTCTTTGGAAGACAAGTTCGATTAAAATCTCATCACTATCGTCTGATATTGATTTTGAATTGTCCTCGACAGGGATTACGCTTGTATTTTGTGGGTCATTTTCTTTGTAGTAATTTCTCGCGACTTCAAAATACAATATTATTACAATTATATAAAATTTACTGAAATTAATAATTTATAAAAATAGAAACACATACTCATTCTTGCAACATGGTTCTCATCAACATGCAATGCATGCATTTCTTCTGAGAATTTCTTGAAACATTTGTGCCGAAATATATTACCACAGGATCCCGCGATAAGCCAGCCACAATAGCCGCATTTTAAATTCTGTTAACACATTTGTACATTACAAATTAATATAGACTAATATATCAACTACAGTTACTCAGTTCGTTATATCACTTACGATTCCTTCGCTCACGTTCATTTTGCATAAACTTATTTATGCAAATGAGATTATCCGTTATTTATTTAAATGAGGTTATGCGTTCCGCTGAATGTAACGAAAGTTGACAATTCAACACGGAACACGAAAGACCTGTGATTGATTCCGTTACGGTTCCGCTTGTTCCGCTTGTTCCGCTTCCGTTCCGTTCCGTTCCGTCTCAATATCATCTCGTGTGCCGGCGGCCTGATGCGTGTATTATGCGCTGCAGGTGGTGGGGATCTAGGAAATTCTAAGCGCTGTTCATGCACGCATTGAGTGAAACGGAACGTTTTCTATGTAATTCGTGCGCATAATGTGCGAAACGGAACGCAACCATTGTAAAAAGTGTCAAAATAAGAAGAGTCATAATGGAAGAGTCATTGATGATTCACTACTATTACTGTCACTCATTTTATCAATTAAAAACATTGTCACATTGATAGCGCAATTTATTGTGGAATCCATTTTGATTTTCCGCTTCTAATGCGTTCAATATCGTTTCGTTTCAAAACATGTATCATGCGCATAATGAAACGAAACGCAGCCAATGCGCTAAGCATTAGCGATGCGAACGATGCGTGCTATGCGCAAAACGGAACGCAACCTGTGTATCAATGTAGTGAAAATTTCAAAGTGAGCAAATTTACTAGATTATTGATCAATAAGATCATAGATACTTTAGTAAATTTGCTCACTTTTGTAGAATGTATTCTGCTAGTTTGGTTTATTTTATTTTCTAAATATTGGCAGCCACCACGGTGTAAGAATATAAGGTGATTTCACGGCAACAAATTTTTGTGATTTTCCTGTCATTGTTCCACATTGGACCGCTAGGTGGCTACGTGTTGAGGGACTTTAAATATATATATATATAAATTTTATTAAAATTTTATTGTCCTGCGGAACTTAATTATAAATATTCATTTTCTAAAAAAAACTTAATTTTCTATAAAGACTGGAATACATTATTAATTATTTTTTCTGCAAATTTAACTAAGAATAATTTGTTATAAAAAAATAAAAATATTTTGTCAGTAATATATATTTTTACACACAATATTAAAAGTTTTATTTTAAAAATTTGTATTATTTAGGACTATAATTATATATAGATGTGCTTTAGAGATTTATCATCTATCCTTTTCTATCCACATCTATCCATATCTTCTATTCTTTTTTACTTGGAATTTTGCACCAACGTGACATCTTGTGTGACATGCTTTAACTATGACATCTTGATCACAGATTTTTTGATAGAATACAATGGTCGTGAAATCACCTTATATTCTTACACCGTGGCAGCCACTAAGGTAAACCGAGAAGTGTTCCGAATCTGTTAGAGTGCAGTCCCATTGAGCACGGATCGGAATAACCGATCGGATTTCTCACTAGAATTAAATGTTCCGTTTACGTTCCGTTCCGTAAAAAATTTCTCTACCAGTCCCATGTAGCAAAACCGGAACAGAATGTCGCCTTGATCGCAAGTAAATGTACTTAATTACGTTAATATTTCTTCTATTATTCCTTCCAATATGGAGGGAAAAAGATAAACTCTGAACTAATGTAGCCAGACAGCTACTGTTCGCAGATGAGATAAAAAAAAGAATTTTACGAAAAATTGAAGGTAAGACAGATCGGTACCTGTTTTACCTTCAATTTTTCGTAAAATTCTTTAGATTCTCTCTATAGATCTTGTGTTAGCGCTACCATCTAGCTCCGCGAACAGTCCGTAGCGCTGAATAGCGCTAATAGCGTCTTCCCGAACGTACCCTATAAGTCTTTTTAGTGATGTCTTACAAAAAATCTGTCAGACGTCTGTACATCGTCTTTAGGTAATGTCTCAAAGACGTAATGAAAAAGACGACTACAGAACGTCGTTAAGACATGCGTGTTATGCGGATTTGCATTTCCACAATCAAATTGTCACTTGCACTTTGTAAACGCTTCATTTCTTGTGTAAATATTAGCCGTACCTAGTATTTTCGCTGCATTTTGATATTTTCTTGCTTTTGCAATAAAATAATATAACTTAAATAGAACTTTCGCACTCTCTCAAATACCGATACAGCATACCAAGTTGGCAAATTTTTCGCTGTTTGCAGTATTTTTAATATGACTAATAAAACTGTTTTTTCATCCATCTCTATGAATTTAGGATATTTTTAGTCGCATTTAGGTTAAAACTGTCTAATATAAAACTGTCTGTTACAAAATATAGTTTATGTTTTTTCACACATGTGTCCGTTCCGTTCCGTAAAAAAATTTCTCTACCAGTTCTATGTAGCAAAAACGGAACAAAAATCTAGTTACAAAATATATTTTACTTTAATAATTCAGTATTTTTAAGTACTCATAGCAATGTAATTTGCAAGAAAATTGCAGAAATTATGTATATAATTGCTTCAACCACATTTAATTAACGAAATATTAACGTAATTAAGTACATTTACTTGCGATCAAGGCGACATTCCGATCCGTTTTTGCTACATGGGACTGGTAGAGAAATTTTTTACAGAACGGAACGTGAACAGAACATTCAATTCTAGTGAGAAATCCGATCGGTTATTCCGATCCGTGCTCAATGGGACTGCACTCTAACAGATTCGGAACACTTCTCGGTTTACCTTAGTGGCTGCCAATATTTAGAAAATAAAATAAACCAAACTAGCAGAATACATTCTACAAAAGTGAGCAAATTTACTAAAGTATCTATGATCTTATTGATCAATAATCTAGTGAATTTGCTCACTTTGTAATTTTCACTACATTGCTTGATACACAATCAACCACTGCGTGTAGGAGCCATGATAGAGGAAATATAAACGAGCGGTCAGACAAAGAAAGGTAGTAAGATTGTTTTGTCTCTTTTCTTCGCAGGCTTATTGAAAGACTCCATTTTTTTATATATGTGTAGAGTATACATATGAGTATATACATGTATAGACTTCAGTAAAGAGAGTCTACAACAGAAAGAGATAAAATAATCCGAATGCTCTTTTTGTGTGATCGTATTTTGAGCAGCACGGCGCTTTCCAGTTTGTATAAAGTTCATTAAATTTATGTAAATAACCAAAATATAATAAAAAGAATTTTCACTCAACTTCCTTTATTTAATAAAAATTGCCAAAAAACTGTTTTATTTCTTTATGGTCAAAATGATCTTTTCCCGTAAAATCCAATTCATAAAGACCATCTTCTGTAGCAGCATACATATGGGCACTATCAAATTCTAGAGAAGTTATACCTGTGTTATCCACATCATACGTCTAAAAATTTTTAAGACAGTTAATAATAATTCACTAATAAAGTACAAGATATAAAAAATTTCAAAATAATACAAACTTGAATGGCAACACTCTGTCTCTGATCCCATAGAACACCCATATATTGCCCCGTCATAAAAGTGTACACATTATCTGATGAGCAACAGAATGAACGGACATATTTGGAAGAATCCCATGTACGTACAAATTTGGATGTTCTGAAATCACGGTAACAAGTATAAATAAATTGAATAGCTAACTAGTACTAACAATAAGATTTATTACCTCATATCCATTTTTTTAATAGAATATTCAAAACATATGAGAATAGTGTGAGGATCCTCCCACAGTAGTTGCTGACAATAATCATCACATTTTTTATTTATTACCTGATAACTAAAATTTCTTTACATTAGTTTGTTGTATATTATTCCAAATATACCCACACGGAACAAAAATCTTTAATGGATATCCACTAGATGTCTATCATGGAGATTCGAAACCTCTTTAGATGTCCATGTAATCTCCTATAGATGCTACTAGGCATCCGCAGTTCCGCATTACATACCTCCATTCGACATCCATTACATATATTCATAGATATCATATGGAGCAATCATAGATGTTTCATAGATATTTCGTAGAGCTTTGATGGATTGTAGTTTCAATTCATCATTAATAAAATTATTTGGAAGTAAAGTCACAAATGTGATTACGAGATAGTCTTGTTTACGTAGGTGTTAACAGAATGTCACCATGTTGTAATCCTCAGGACATGGAGATATCCCTAAGATGTCATAGGGCGGTATTCATAGTCCGTTCTTATATTCAAGATCGTCTTAAGCACGAACTTATATTCGCTCTCTTCGTCAGACACAATCTATGTGTGACGAAGAGAGCGAATATAAGTTTGTACTTAAGACGATCTTGAATATAAGAACGGACTATGAATACCGCCCATAAGATGTTTTGTGCTGTGTGGGATCTAATGTCCATCGTAGAGATAGGTCGGTATTCATAGTCCGTTCTTATATTTAAGATTGTCTTAAGCACGGACTTATATTCGCTCTCTTCGTCACACATAGATTGTGTCTGACAAAGAGAGCGAATATAAGTTCGTGCTTAAGACGATCTTGAATATAAGAACGGACTATGAATACCGCCCATAGATGTAGTATGGAGTTATAGAGATTATATGGACGTCCATTGGATGTCATGTTCTGTGTGGGTACGTACTTGATTAGGTTCATATGTATAATATTTCTGCAGTTTCATATTTTTTAGAATTTTCGGATTATCAAACCGTCCTTGTAAGTTATAATTAGAATTGTTATTAAATCGGATCATATAACAGTGTCTGTATAAACATAGTACATGAGTACGTTTACACGGCAACGTTAATCGGGTTTCATAACTACGGATGTTACTAAACCCAATTGAGATTGACGTGTAAATGTAGTCAATGTGTTTAATCAAACATTTGTAGAAACCGATTAATTGAAACATAATTTACCTTTTATCAATATCGTGAATTAGAAACGACGACATAATATAATCATCGTTATAATTGATGGAACTAGCTGCAAATTTTGTTCCTATAGGGTCAAATGAGATTGATGTAATTGTAGATTCGTTGTTTTCACAAAATATTTCGTTTTCTTTCGTACAACCTTTTCTATCATCTGTATATTTCAGTATCTACAAAAACAAACTTTTTACATACTATATTAACAAAGTATTATTGCAATTTTTCTTTAAACTTACATTTATTGAATTTTCAGAACCAGTTATAATGAGTTGCGATGTTGCATTTATTTGTTCAATTTCATAAAATATATTATGTATTTTTAAAGGTTTAAAAAGAA